ATTTGTTAGTGTTTTTCGAAATTAGAGATGAAATTAGATGGGGTCCATCCCCCATAAACCTTTCTCATGTCATCCTGTATCACTATGTCAAGTTTGGTACTAATTGATCAAGAAATGTGGAGACGTATAAGGAACAGATTCACAGACATGTTGACGTTTATTTATATAGAAGATGTGAGTTCCAGGCTCCATCCCTTTTATGACCTTCCCATGTTATCCTGTATCACTAAGTCAAGTTTGGTACTAATTGATCAAGAAATGTGGAGACGTATAAGGAACAGATTCACAGACATGTTGACGTTTATTTATATAGAAGATGTGAGGTCCAGGCCCCATCCCTTTTATGACCTTCCCCATGTTATCCTGTATCAAGTTTTGTGCTGATTGATCAAGAAATGTGAAAACGTATAAGGAACAGATATTAAATGATAGACATACAACCGTGTATTTATTTTCCCGGACACACACACTTTGCTTTACATAGTAGATTCAAACCACTATCAGTGTAGTGAATGGAGTAGGAGATTTGAAAATACTAGCATCAGAATTTCTAGAAATTTGCCCATCCTGTCCAGCTTAGTGTAACTGTTTTCAGTATATTGTCTAACTTGTACTTTTAGATGTCCTGAAGGTCCGGGCTGTACCCAAGAATCCCTGAGTTTCATGGCTATCTTTTTATTTTAACGAGATATATCTTTATTTAAAGTACAAAATCATCATTAGATAACAAATTGATTGTTACTTTCGTCTGAACAGGTACTCAGTTTCTTGTAAACACGTGACTTGGAATACTGCATCCTGGAGTGTTTTTCTCGCTGAAACTTTAATAAACAGTAATCATAAGAGCTTCATATTGATAAATAAAGTCTGAAAGGGGACGATAAAAACTTAGAATGATGAAAGACTGTTGTTTTGGTCACAGACCAACGACTCGTTGTTGAAACCCTTGGTCCAACGGGCATACATATGTCACTGTGAATGATTTGTTTAACTACGGAGTTCATACACCGTTATATGTATAATCTCTAAATTCGCGCATCATGATTTAGATATAGCCAAGTCACGAAAAGTGAGTTTGGTGCACCTTGTATCATTTCTTGAACAATAAAATTTTATAGCTATAAGCGTTTATTCTGTTTTTTTGCGTTGCGTCTGTAATTATTATGTTCGAAGTACGAGACGTGAACTACGACTAATTATGGAAATATCTCAGACGCGTATATCAATTAATACTTGTCAGATGATATTAAAAATCATCAGTAAACAGCAACAATTAACGTTATGGTGTGAACTGGTTGCAAATGATATGCGTTTATGGGCGTTTTCTTATATTCTCCAATTGTTAATTAACACCTTCAAAGTTGGAAACGAGTTTATGTCATCCCTTTATTAACGCGTTTGTATCGCGTTTGTGTTAGCTGAAACGCATAAGCATGTTTCCACCCAAGGTGTTCTGTCATTGATAAATGTGGACATAATTAGTTGAACATTGTTAACAAGGAAAATTTTGTTTTTACATTTAAAGAATATTGTATGCCACATCTTAGTTCTGCGTGATTTAAATGAACTAAACATAATTTGGCTGACAACTTCCTCTGTCACGAAACTAGGCTTAATGAAGACATAATGGCAGAAGTGTCATCCGACCAGAGAGACCGGTCTATACTACATTCCTAGTCACATAAAACTATATAACATAATGTCTTCTGGGCGTTCTCACTGTAAGTAGCAATATCTTAGCAGGTATTTGCAGCTTTTTTTTTTTACTTCTTTCTTACGAGGATCTCCTGATTTAATTAGTTTTCTAGATAGACGCAAATTCGTCATGCAGGTAGACGTTTTATACTTTTACCTTGACATGTTTTTTCATGCACTAATAAAAAAAAAATAGCTCAACGATAACACTGTGGGCTTATAGCGATACAATTTCGAGGTTTGTTGAGCACAGCGAAGAAAACTTTCCGCTTAACAACAAAACAAAAGACAATGCATTGAAGTTTAATTTAAAAATAAACATATTTCAGTAATATTGATTACATTTTACTGTAAGTTTTTACTAGCTCCATACAGTTCAGCGGTAGTTTGAGCAACTTGTCAGAAAATGTAAAGTTCAAATGAATTTTTACAGACAATGACTATACCGTAAGTGTATTCTTACATTACTCTCTAGTGTATTCCTATCACTGGAGGTTTAAAAGATATGATGGAAGAATTCTTAAGTTTACTTTTATACTTGAACATACTTTTTAAAGAAGATGTGTTACTGATAACAATCCATTTAGCTCCTTAACTCCAGATGTAGACTCAAAGATATTTAATATCGTTTCTTATGGTAATGATCCTTATATATTTAATATCGTTTCTTATGGTAATGATCCTTATATATTTAATATCGTTTCTTATGGTAATGATCCTTATATATTTAATATCGTTTCTTATGG